GTCTCAGACAGTACACCCCACCATGTACATCCCCCCTACACAGCTTGCATCTGAAAAGCCTGGTGCCTGTGTGCTCAGTCAGCAGGGAGGCAGGTAGGTGGGGGCCCTCAGCTCACTGGCAGCATGGCTCCCGCCAGGCCACAGGTGGGGCTTTGCCACAGCAGGGGTGGACATGCACTTGCCAGCTGGCGGTGCCCGTCCAAGGACATCAATCAATTTAAAGTCACCCATCCGCTTTCTTGGTTGACATCCCAACCACCGGGACCTGATTCTGGGGAACGGAAGGCAGAGCTGGGATGGAGTGTGGATGTATTTGCATGACTGCTCCCCAAATTAAATATGCAGTGAACTTACGTGTAACGGATCAGAGGCCAGATGCTCAACTGCTGAGAGGACGGCTGGTGACCTGTAAGATTTGGCTGCAACATGAGAGAAGTTGTTCATGCTTCTAAAGAACAAGGGGGAATGGTGGAGTTTGGAGGAACTGGGGAGAAAGTGGGGCAAACATCGACAGCGCTGATTTAACTACTGTCCAGGGAATGGTTTGATGCAATGACCTTGAGGCCCATGGGCGTGTGGGAAAGGCTGCCCCACCATGGAGGTGAAGGTGCAGCCTTAGCACCCACCCCCACCCGTGGCTGACCATACAACCTACAGGAGGCGCTCCCCAGAGAGCACAGGGCTTGCTTTTCTTCCCAAGAACCTGTGCCCCAGCAGGTCCATGAGCGTCCCCCAACACGCTTTGTCCTGCTTGTGTCTCTGCAGTCCAGGCAGGCTTGGGGGTGACTGTCTTGTGAAGGCTGGGAGCTACATGTCTGGTGTTGATGCCGCTTGTCACCTCAAACACCCAAGGCAGGTGTTTCCAGGTGGCCTGAGCTTCCCCACCACACAGTGCGCCCCAAGGGAGGGGCCCAAGGGAGGAGGAGCCCGGAGAGGTGGACCAGCCGTAGGTCCTGGCCTGGCGAGTCACACAGCATCACTTCCTTCACAGTCTACTGTGGGAGCCTGTCCCAGACCCCCACCCAGATTCAAGAGGGGGGAACGCAGACCCCAGCCCTGGTGTCAGGAGTGTCAGGCACATGGTAAGGCGAGCACATGTGTGTGTGTGTGTGTGTGTGTGTGTGTGTGTGTGTGTGTGTGTGTGTGTGTATGGTCTATGGTCCCTTTTGGAAAATGCCGCCCGCCACACACCTGTACTGGGATGAGCGGAGGACATGGCTGACCCCATGCCTAGGGGAGGGTCCATCTACCTCCCACTTTCCTACAATGAGCACGGATTATTTTGATAATCACAAAAACATTTTTATGTTCAATACAATTTTTAAAGACTGTTTCTTAGAAAATAGAAAGTGAAGGCAGATGGGGGATATACCACATGATGAAAACCTTTAAATTCTGTTTAAAAAATTCTGTTTAAACAGTTCTGATTCCACCCACCTGAGCAGCTGTCTAAGCCCCTCTCCTCCCGGGGCCCCCACCCTGCTGCCCCTGTTCCTCCGTCACCCTGCTGCCCTCTAGGCCAGCCCCACCTGCCCTGTCACAGCCTGTTCAGCCAGCTCAGTGGTTTGCACTTGGCCACACCAGGCCTCCCCAGCAAAGGCATACGTCATTATCTCAACAGCTTTTTATGATTAATTAGGAGGCTCTAATCTGGTTCACACTTTACATACCTTATGGGGAAAATGTATACAAAGCAAAAGTTACATATTTGGAGAAAAAAGACAAATGAACCATTTTCTCTCACTGCTGTTGATGGATTGTTGGAAGCAGATCATCCCACGAAGCAACAGGAAAATTAACAGCGAAATTAACAATAGACAGAATAATCATCTAGTAAGAAAATGAACACCTAGCACATCAAAGCCAAGACGCTTGTCACAACCCTTGGTAAAGAAAGGCCTACAACCTGGACCCACTGGGTTCACTGTTCTCAATCCTGAGAGCTCCACCCTGGTTGGTCCCCACTGCTCCAGGCTGGGAGGACCCAGTCCCAGGGCCCCCCCACCTCTGCAGGTGGGGACACGCTGAGGGAGAGAAAAGAGCTGAGATGTTTGAGGTGGCATCACCAAGAAGGCCTGAAAACTGTCAGGTGAAGAGAGTAAGTGTGGCACTGAGGGCAGAGGGGCCGATAGCCCCCCTGTGGATGTGGCAGGGTAACTGGGTGAAAGGCATGGTCCCAAGGACAGGTCGTCAGCAGGATGACACGTGAGGGAGACAAGGAAAGGGAGGGGTTAACCAAGGGCCTTGCCTTGGAGGGGTGGGGGGACCGGGACGGGATCCCAGACCCCAGAGGCAGGTCCTGAGGCTCTGGCCTCTGGGGGTGAAAGGTTTAATCCGGTGACCTATTACAGGACAGTTAGTACTGGTGTCTGGATTGACTGGATTGGTGTTAGCTGACTGAGGGGCTCTCAGTGTCATGCTAACTTAACAGCTCAGAGGTCAGTGCTGAGTTAACCCAGGTTATGCTAGTAGCATTTAAAATGGTAATGAAATGTGCAAAAATTAAAGCTTATAATTTAAAAGAAATCTTAAATAGTCTATTATATTTATATGATGCCTTAAATATACACAGAAGACTAAAAAATGGGAATTATTTCTGTAGCCCTCAAGATTAGCAAATATTGGATAGTCCGCACGCAGACAGAAACCAGCTGTAACGCCCGGTCAGCTTTCTCCCTGACTCATGTTCACGCCCGAGCTGACCTGGCGTCTCCAACAACATACTGACTGATACAGGTTTTAGAAAATGAGTATAGATGTAGATAGAAATATGGAGATTATCTGTCTAGTTACAATACTAAAGAATTTCACTTTCTTAGATTCAAAATCATGATTATGGGAACTGAAAACATCATTCCCAAACATTTGAGTGAAAAGCAAAAGCATGTGTGGATTTTCCGAGTGGCCCTCAGGTGACTGTGTCTGCCTAAGCGCTGAGGTTGTGGCTGTGGTCACATTTCATCCAACACAAAGGGCAGACTGCAGGGCGTGCTGTGTCCTCCTGCTAATGCCATTTCCGGGATAATTCTGTCGTGTGGACAGGGAGCAACCGCTGTGTGAGTGTGATGATGGGGATAACGATGGTGGTGATTAAATGGCCCTCGTGGCAACAGCAAATGGAGGGTGGTTACGAGCGCAGGAGCAGAGCCACCAGAAAGCATGGTGTCAAAGGGCAGGGGACAGAATGTCAGAGAGGGACCCACCGCCAAGACCCTGAAGAGCCCTCGCTGTCACGGATAAAGACAAACCTTGTGGCCCCAACATGGGCGACAATCCACCCAGTCCCCAAATCCTTGTGAGGAAGGTTAATTCAGAGTCGCAGGCCCCAAACCCAAACCAGCAGTCACCAACCATCTGAGATAATAGGGGACCAGAAAGGGAGAAAAAAAAGCCATGGAAAAACAAAGCCGTTCTGGTCCCTTCTGTCAAGATAGTCAGGGCACCTCAGATTTCCCGTCTGCCCCCCTCCAACACTGCAGAATCGCTTTTGCACATGGTGGGGTGCCCCAAACTCCTCTCCCGTGGGTCCTCAGTCTCAGTCACCCTGACTTTATTGAGGTAATGAGTTTGGTCCTTACTGACCGGTGCTGAGAGTGGTGCCAGCAGTTCCCAGCAAACCCTCTGGGCTCCAGACAGTCCTTCTTACCCCCTGATGTCCCAGAAACATAACTGGGATAAGTCACCCAGCAGGCATAGCAGCCACCTTCTCTGCCCATCAATCCAGTGCCACCGGGGGGTGGAAATGGCCACTATCCCAGCTTCTAATGAAACAAAACCAAGATGGGGGATTCTGTTCTTGGCTGTAGCGTTTCTGTTTTAGATGAAACGCTGCTGTGTGTATTCGATGTGATGCTGGGCAGAGCAGATAACGGTTCACGGTGGACGAAACAGGTCGCAGCCCTTTGGGATTCCGTAGTCAGCGCAGGAAGCAAGCCAGCCGGCTTTTCAAATGGAAGATGCTGACGGTAAAAGAGGCGCCAGCTTTGTGCCAACCCCAGGGGTCACCAGGAGCTCGTCACAGCTGCCTCAGCACCCCACCCCTGAGGGCTGGGTGGCCAGCGGCCCCCACCTGACCCATTCATCTCACCTGGTGGCTTCAGCAGAGTGCAGCTAAGGAGACGCGGCCACGGGAGCAGGTTTCCCGGCGCCCTAGAGGGTGGCTTCCAGAGGTCCCACTGGTGCAGCACCCCCGTGACGTCTCTGTCATTCGTGGAGCCACAGCTGTGCCTTCTCCACCGGGGTGTGGGCGGCTGCCTGGTGGGGAGGCACTTTCCACAGACGCTTCTCTGAGCCCGGGCGGTAGTGGCCCTCCTTACGTCTGTTATTCCTTTCTTCTTCAGACGTGTTTTTACTTACTGGCCCCAATACTCCAATCCCATTATATTTAGTAATTCTCTCCATGAAATCTCTCTAATCAGATTATAAGGTGGCTTCTATTTCCTGACTGGACCCCAGTTGGCTGTGGCTGGCATTTGCTTCTCCAGGGTCTGCCTCCTGTGCTGACCCCCTGGATGGCCACCCCACTGGGCCATGGCTTAAATCTGAGTGATGGCTTAGACCCCACCGAGGTCACCACACAGAAGGTGATCTATTAACAATCCTGGCGTTAAGACCAGCATGTACCCCAGTTAAAGAGAGAATCCCACCTTGCCAATTAGGTCTTACTACGTGTGGCAACGTGTGTTCTCAGGGGGACTAAGGAGACAGTAGGTGAGGAGGCACGTCGCTGTGGACCAGGGACAAAGGCAGTGAGCCTGAACAGGTGCTCCATAAACCCTGAAAGAAGGAAATGGGTGTTCAATAATTGAAAGAATACAGTTAACTATCTGGGTTTTATCAAACCATGACTACCAAGTGGAAAAGTACAGTATTTGAGTAGGACTACATAGCCCGTATGTGCAAACATAAATGTTTTCATGAAGCTTTCAAAATAGAGTCTATTTAGTCGAAACAAATTTGCTGCTTAAGATTGTGTTAGAAGTCTTAGCCACAAAAACACACTGGTTTAAAATATTTATTAATTCAAAAAAATTTAAAATTTTTTGTACAAAGATGATGAGAAAAGTCTCATGCACACTCTGGGCATACAATAAAAATAACTGAAATACTAATATGATGGTTTTGTACAAAATAATTCTCTTTTCAGTAGGACCCCCGACAGACAGTGCAGCCCATTCTACAGGCCTGATGCCCCAGGGACGAGGCCATCACCCTGGGACACCCGCGGGCGACCCATGGTCACGTGACCCGATGTTCACAGTTGTCACTATGATTAATGGTAAAATACCCTATTGCTACTACTCAGAAAACTAGACCGAGACGTGGGGACACTTGAGCAAGGAATTCCCCAACACCACAAACTCCTGAAGAACCAAAGTAACTCACAAAGGTTTTCAGAAAAGTTTCAGATAATCGACTCAACTCATGAAAATGCCTTGAGATGGTTTGGATGATGCCTGTGTCCTCTGAGTTACAAACCTGCAGTGGATTTATACTCTGTATATATTACAAGTAATTTGCATAATTAACACAACTAAGGGATCGACATATCATGGCAATTAGAAATGCATCAAACTCTGAACCTTGTACAAAAGAGCTTCAATATGAAACAGTAATCCTCTGAGAACTGAGCCCTCCCTGGTGCCGGGTGCACCCTCCCCACCGTGCGGACACCGCCCCCCACTTCTGCCCGACGCTCTGCAACTCTCAGTCTTATTGCATTGTTTACACACTCATCTCATTTTCCGTAGCCTGAGTCTGTTTTCCTTGTCCCGTTTCTTAAGAATGAGTATGAATTGGTTGAAAAAGTGCTCCTGGTCCTTCCTTTTGGGAACAAGTCGAAATCTCTCATCCCGGCCATACTTCTCGGCAAAGTCCTTAAACGTGGTCCTGGAAGACAAGACGTGTCTCAGCCCTTCCCGAGCCCCAGCTCCCCGAGCACTGTGCATCAGGCGTGCCCGGGAGGGAGGGCAGCTCCTGCCACAGACCCAGGTGCTGGCTGCAGGCCGAGAGCAGGGCACTCGGGGGACGGGCTGAAGGGAGCAGCCCCACCTGCTCCCCACACTGGGTGGTGCTCCCCCCTGGGCCCGCCCCGCGGGGTCCTGACCCAGCTTGCCTGGCACAACCCATCTGGCTCCATCTCACGGGCCCCTAGACATGAGCCTGGCCACCCCCAAACCCCCACCTCTTCGGCTTCCTGTTGCTGGGAGCTTGCTGCAGCCCAGCCGCACCCATCACTGCTTCTGCCTTACAGGTCTTCTGCCCCCATGATCTTACCACCCACCTGCCTGCCATGGGTCTGCCCTCTGCCTGGAACACCCTCCCCTTATTTCCTCACTGATCATTTAAAGCTCACTCATCGTGAGAAGTCAGGACTCCCAAGCCTTCTGCAAGCAAACTCGCCCTGTATGGAGGCCCAGGGGGCTGCACGGTCCTCGGCATGGTTGGGACCTCCATTAGCCCCGGCTGTGCCGTTTTATTCAATGGTCCCCCATTGAGTGGAAGTGGGACAGTGTCTGCTTTGTTTTCCATGAACATCCTGAGTGTCTAGCACACGGCTGCCATGTGCTGAGCATAAGTATTGATGAAGCAAATCCACAACGTCCAGGCCTGGGAGCTCCGGTGAACAAACTGGGGTGAAGCCCAAGGGGCTGCGGCAGCTCAAAGGGCAGAAAGAGTGGGCGTGCCTTTTGGGGGACAGTGGAACTTTGCCAGCACTGGGTCCCCATGGCTTTCTCTCCTCCCAGGCCTGAACCTAGGGCTCGGGAGTAGTGACAGCTATAGAGTGCCCGGGGCCCCAGGGGCCAGTGCGTGCAGAGGGCCGGGGCCTGCCTCCCTGCCGGAGCCCTGGAGGTGGGGCTGGGCCTGAGCTGCCAGGGGCGCCCGGGCACGTGGAAAGGTGCACCGGCTTCATCCAGGGGATTCCTCTTGTCCCCCCCATTTCTCTTTGCAGAGAATATTCTGTTTCATTGCAGATATTGAATTGTATCAAATTATTATAACAATACTTCTTTATACATGAACAGCACGGCTCTCCGGACAGGGCCGTGAGGAGACCAGACAACAATTTGGAGGCTCCTCCTCACTGTGTCACCAGCACTTCGTCTCTGCACTGCTGCCTGTGCTCTGCGTCGCTGCCTGCTCGCACACGGCTCCAAAAGAAAAGCGCTTCTCTCGGGTTTTCTCCTCCTCCCCTCTTCCTGGTGTGGACTGTGTGTGTGCACCCCCAGAGTCCATGGGTCAAAGCCCTGCCCCCCATGGGGTGGTGTTAGGAGGTGGGGCCTTTGGGGGGGTTGGGGTACATGAGGTCATGAGGGTGGGGCCCTCGTGACAGAATTTGTGTTTTTATAAAGAGACCTCCGAGACCTTCCTCGCTGCCTCTGCCATGTGAGGACATGATGAGGACAGAGAAAGGACACTGTCTATGACCCAGGACGCGGCCCCACCAGACACTGAACCTGCCAGTGCTTTGACCTCAGGCTTCCGGCCTCCAGAGCTGTGAGAAACGGGTCTGTTGCTAAGGACCTCGTCTGCCGCAGCAGCCTGAGGGGACTGAGACACTTTCTCCTCCCTTCATTCCTTTAATGAGGAGACTTACTGGAGACTTGCTCAGAGGGGGCCTCAGCTTTGTCAGTCAGGGGTGGGCAGAGGCCCCTCGACACAGGTCAATTCTGGGCACCTCTGGAAAGAACGAGTAAAGCTCTGTGGCCCCTTTGCCGTGCCGAGGGGACAGCCCAGCGCACTGCTGGCCCTGGCCAGCTGGCCAGGAGCCTGGGGAAGTCATCTGTCATTAGCACTGTACCTGATAACCCGCGGTGGAAGGAAGTGGCCATGGCGGCACCTGGCCCCACATCCCAAGATAGGTCCCCAATGGTCCTCTCCCCATCCCAAGATCCCAAGATCCCGAGAACCAAGCAGGGTTGGCAGCTAGCTGGCCCTGGACTGTCCCCGTGCCACTGTTCCCATGGGTTCTCAGGACAGAGCTGAGGCTGGTGACTGTGACCCAAGCTCGGTGCTGCAAAGACCTAGGGGGCCACCCCCCAGGGACTCAGGAGGGTCTGCATGGACCCCCAAGGTCTAGGGCACAGACTCAACCACACAGATCTTACTAGAACGCCTGTGAAACAGCGGGAGGAAAGTGTAAAGATTGTCTGAAAAAGCTTTGAAATGTTGCAGAATTAGCTACTTTTGAAATAAAAATAGTTCTATAATTATAAAAGTTCTATATACCCAGTATAAGCTTCTTAAAAACAGCAGGCAATTAAATCTAATGTTAAAGAAAAGTACATTTTACACTCTTCAAATCTCTATCGCCCGCGTCCCTTCTGTGTGAGAGTGCGTGAGATCTTTTTCCTAATGGCTGTGTACATTCCGGGTGTATTCTCCTTCGCCTTCATAACACATTCATGGGAGGGGGCTCGGTTGCTTATAGCTAACGTTTGAGTGGATGGAGGATAGTAGCTAAAAGTCCATAACAATTACAGCGGTGACAGTGGTGACGAGGGCCTCCTCGCCGAGCTCCCACCCTCCAAGCACCCGTGTCCTTCTCTGCACGCAGACCCCATCCTCCTAAGTACCCTGAGGGCTGCTTTCCCCCATTCAGAAGGTGACAAGGACGCTCCTGAAAGCCCAGCGCCTCCCGGGGGCCAGGGCTGGGCTGTGCCCTGCAGCTGGGGCTCCAGACCCCACTTCCTCAAAGCTGGGTCCCTTTGCCTCCTCAGGGTCACAGCTAGAACCTCGCTCCCATCACAACGGCTTTAACTGCAGAAAAGCAGCTTACAAATCGTTAGGCACACATTTGCATTCTGCAATGGGAATAATTCATGCTAACTTTTTCCTATTCCGAAAGTATCTGTCCTTTAAATGCTTGAGGAATTTTTATGAGGACTCATACCCACTAACATGCTATCCCATCATCGACCCAGCAAATAAACCAAATAATGATCAAACCATGGAAACTTACTTCTTCATAGAAACTAGTCACCAATTAGTGTCCATTTAAAAATGATGTATTTATGCATTTTTATTAAAAGTAAAAATGCATATATAGCCACTTAAAAATAATATCCCAATCAAAAATAAAAATACATCAAACTCAATCATTTTAATACTTCCCAAAGTTGTAGTCTTTTAATTCTAAAAGTAGTGCACGCTCATTATTTTTTAATGTATCAGCCAATTTAAGCTAATTTTAAAACGCATAAAGCCTATGTGTTTTTCTAATTACTAATGGCCATTTTCCTATTAGCTTGTTTTAGTTCACAGAAATAATGGCTGTGTATTTGGGGTGAGTTTTGGCAGCCACACGCCCTGTGTTCATCAGCACGCATGTCACATTATTTTACGCTCTGGCCGACTGTTAAGGCGAGGACCAAGGGAGTGGGTGGGGTTTATTTTGCTGTTGTTTCTTTTGTATTTTTAGCCCTCGATCATTGGAAATTAGACCTCCCCTCATGAGAGGGTACCTACTGATTAGTTATTTAGGCCACGGAGTCAGGCTCTGTATGTTTGGTTAGCAAGAAGCACGTGTGCCGGGCATGGGAAGGAGGGGGCGGGGCCTCGCTCGCTGGGGACGCCAGGGAGAGGCCGCCTCTCTCTCCAGCTGGCCTCCACAATTACACTTTTGATGTCGGGAATGCTAGGTTATGTGATTTAAACAAACCCATCTGTAAAAGCCCTCTCACAATAATTGGTGACTATTCCAGCCCCAGAAATTGCCTGGCGCTTTCCTCTCTCCATACCTGGGCGACACTTTAGATTCCTCCAGAAGTTTTTTGAATTCTTCTTTGGCTAGCAGCAATTTACTTCTCTTTTCCTTGTATTCTTCTTTTATCCTTGTCTTGACAAACTGTTCAAATATCTGAAAAGACACACGAGAGAAAAGTATTACAAGGCTGCATATCAGAAATGAAATCTTGTGTTTCACATACTACACAGAAAACAGCAATGATCTCAGGGAAGCCTTCCCGATCACCGTAGCTGGAGGCTCTAGCCACAGCCCTTCCATGGTGGCACCCCCATCAGGCCTGGATACCCACGAGGCCAGACTGTGTCCCCATCCAGGCACCGCCCCGGGGCCCCACACTGAATCGGGCCTGCCTGAGGAACCCTGGGGATGGCTGGGCACTGTGAAGCCACTGGCAGTGTGGACATCTCAGCGCCAGGGTCACTGTGTCTCTGGTTTGGAACCCCGACAGCAGCGTCTGCAGTCATGTGCTGGCTTTCACGTCACTGCCGGTCTTAGAAGTAACACGGAGAGCGCAGAATTTGCTCTAGTCGATTCCAATCAAATGGCAATATGATTGTCATTTGAGTCTCCAAAAACGACTTGAACTTGTGAAAAGAAAGTCAACCCAGCATCTCTGGTCTCAAGAAGACCCGCATGTGACCGTGGGGCTCATGGGACGAGGACAGCCTCCCCTGGGGGCGACAGGGAGTCTCTAGGTCCCCAGCATGGACCATCAACGACCAGGAGGAGACCCGATCCCCGACACTCCCCAGTTTGATAAGTGGTGTGATTTGAAGGTCACCCCACAGCAAACCCGATTCCTTAGCGTAAAGGCTGTGGGTACTGTCTGCTGGGCAAGCCCACTCACGACCCAGGGCGGTTTCTCTTGAGCGCCGGGAGCCGACGTGGCAGCCACAGACTCTCCCAGCACGGCCCCTGGAATCGGCCTCCCTTTGTGAGAGAAGGGCGCTCACTGTTCTAACACCGGGAGGCCGTCGCTATAGACCATAGAGCCAAAGTGTGGGAACAGAGCCGTTCTGCCCCTAATGCTCTCCAGGCCTTAAGGACATTAACAGGAAAATAAACTGGACATCATTCACGTGTGTGTGCCAACATAAACAAAAAGATCAATAAGCACCCACACGTGATCCGATACGGCCAATGAAGGGCAGCTCTGGACCAGCACCATCCGTGGCCAAGGCCGAGAACGAGAATGTGACCCAAGTACCGGGGGACAGGGGCGTCTGTTCCCCTCCGGGACACGGAGGCCGGGCGTGAGGACGGGCCCACGAAGCGTCCATCACTTCCCCTGGCAGGCGGGGCTCCCCTAGCTTCGTCTGTCGGTTTCAGATTCCTCGTCAGTCATGGGAAGCCGCCAGAGGATTGTGAATCCAAAATGCAGGCACCTCCCGAAGCCCCGGCAGCCGCATAAAATACTCTGAGCAGGACCCACCGAGCAGGTGCGCTTATATATTTACGTAAGACTGTGATTGGCTCGTTACACCTTCGAGGCAAGTGGAAATGTTAGCTCTCCAGTTGTCTTATTATTTACCTCCTAAGAAAGGTGAATGCAGGGCGATTAGCCCAGGCGAAGCGTGTGGCCCCATCATCAGTCGGAGTTTTGCTCCATTAATTTTAAAATTCAACAGCAGCCGTCGGGGCTGTGGGTCCAGAGCTCACAACCAAAGCCTGCGTGGTCTCTGGCCTGAGCCAGACACGTCCACCCGTCCACGCGCCCTTTCCTCCCGCGGGCCCTGCTGCTTTATTTAGGCTGCTATCACTTAACGTCTCAGGTTTTCCCTCTTCCACAAATTATACCGGTTTTATTCAAAGAGGGGCACGACTTTTCAAAAGAGATACTTTGGGCTATTATCCCATTAGGGCAATAAAACGAAACATGATGTGTTACCATAGAAACAGGCCTGATTAGCGTGCCCATGACCCCCACGGGCTGGGCGCACTGGCTTCGTTTCTCCCGGCGGCCCCCAGGAGACGGGTGGCTGCACTTTGTACCCTGGGAATCTCGGCTTTCCCCACGAACACTGTGTGATCACAGGCCCCGTACAGGCTGCGTGCCTGATGCTCGCGGACCCATTTCATCGTAACTAGGACGGTGATTTTGAGTTGGGTCCAAATATCGTTTCCCTTGTCACTCGGCTTCAGCGCCGCCCATCACGCCCACAGCACCAGGTCCCCTTGGGGGGCTGGCGTCTCCCAAACATTGGCTCTCGTGGAAGTCTCGGCCACCACGAGGCCTGCCTCTTCCTCATCCTCGGGCCTCTGGGACCAAGCGGCAGTCTGTTAAGATGGGCCTGAGCTGCCTCTGGGCGGTTTCGCAGGGATGTTACAACGCTGTCCCCAAACAGGGGGTTCCTGGTGTGAGCTGACAGTCCAGTCTGATTTGTCCGCAGAGCTCACAACCAGGCACAGACAAGGACATCCCAGCCCAGGAGGCACAGCCCCAGCCCGCTTAGCACCTGCCGTCTCTGGCCACAGCTTTGGAAGTTCTAAGGCGAGTCCTGTGTGGGGTGCCCACCCCCAGGCCTCAGGGCAGGGCAGGGGACCCACCACTGGCCTGGAACCAGCTCAGTTCAGAAAGCAAACGGGGCTTGTCCCTTTCCCCATCATCCCAGAGATGTGGCTTAAACATCAAGTCATCGCTGGGCCTTTCTTTGAGGGTGGAGAGGGTCTTACTTCCTTGACTTCCTTCCAAGGGGCTGACGGCCTTTAAAAGCACCCACGAGCCAGAGAGGGCGGTGCTGACTGTCGCAATCATGTCAGTGGACACACTGCGCTCTGTGCCAGCTGTCATAGGGTCCAGCCAGTCTGTGGGACTCGACTGTGGCTTAATGTGCTTTTGTCACAAATATAGACAGGCTTCTAACTATGTGTTCTCACAGCTGACTGGTTAAGCTTTCTGGTTTCTAATACTGTAGTAAAAGGGTGAGCTAGGACCCCTAACTTCCTGTGCACAAACTCCCCGGTGAGAACACTCAGGCGAGAACAGAACCTGCCCCACTGACGAGGACGCCAGGCATCTGTCCACCCGCCATGCCCCCCGGAATATGTGTCATTCGATTGCTGCGCCTCGAGGCTCTGTCACCGTGCCCTACCACAGCATTACCTGTTTCCGCTCCTCGGAGTTTAGCAGGAGATAGCGTGGATCAAACACGATTTTATGTAATTCCTTCTCCCAGGTAGAAAACGCTGACACCTGAAGGAAGATATTCAATAGAGTTGTTTTAGTGTCTCGTGCTGAGCCTGGAGTTTCGCTGAAATGATCAATGGTGAAGAAACAGTATTAAGGCACCCTGGGTTCAGTGATGCAGTGCTGTGTGAACGCGCTGGATGTGTCAGGCCTCCTGAGAAAATCAATACAGAGAGCATTAGAAAATTTAATTTCGACACTCATGACACTATTCCTTTTCTGGACACCTTCCAGGGCCCCATGCCTCTGATCCGAAGCTCCAAGCACACCTGTGCAGCTGTGGCATTCTGGAAAGTCACACCTCACAAGGAGAAATATCTGTAAAACTGCTCAGAACACCGCAGGCCAGGGCAGAGGGCAACGCCTTGCAAATGGTCTGAGTTTAGTGTAATTTTAGTTGATTTTTACTTCATGTTTAAACCTTTTTGAGGTAGGCCATTTTTCAAAACAAATGGTTTTAATTCACAGTAGTTTGAGATTTACCAAAAATTACAAGACTATTACAAGGTTAGCATGCGCCCCAGTTCCCCATGTTATTAATGTCCTGACATTAGTATGCCAGCTTTGTCTGTACGACTATGAACAGAAGTCCACACTTTCCTTAGATTTCCTTAGTCTTTACCTAATTCTCTTCTTCTGCTCCCGAGTGCTGCCCAGGACACCACGTGACATTCAGTCTCATGTCTCCTGAGGCTCCTTGGGGCTGTGACAGCTTCTCGGATTTCCCTTGTTAGGGCCTGAATGGATTTGAGGGTGGTGGTCAGGTATTCTGTCAGATGCCCCGCTTTGGGGTTTATATGTTTTCCTCGTGGTTAGACGGGGCTACGGGCTAGGGGAGTAGAGCACAGACGGAAATGCCATTTTCATGACGTTATGTCATGGTGCACGGCCAGCTCACCACGGCCGACGTTGACCTTGGTCGCCTGGCTGAGGTCGTGTCCACCAGGTCTCTCCTCTACAGCTGTGCCCTGTTCCCAGTTCCCCATGCTGCCCACACTCTTCGGGGGGAGTCACTGTGTGTGGCCCATGCTGAAGGCTGTGCTCCGGCTCCTGAGAGGGATGTGCTGACAGGAGCCACTTGGGAGACTTTGGGTGGGTATTTGTCATCGTCCCACTTTGCCTATCCATGCAGCATTTTATTTATATCAGTAGCGCTCGCGGCTCCTTGCCTCACGCTTTGGAGACATGCGACTTCCGTTTGGTGCTCACATTGCTCCAGCTGTGTTCCTGTGACATGCCCCATCACTGGTTTGGAAGCACCTCCTCATTTCCGGGCACCCCGTGATGCCCCTGGCGCATCGGGTACATCTGCTGCCTGGGCCCTGGAATCAGCCATTTCTCCAGGAGTTTTGGTTCCTTTCAATGGAGAAGCAACAGAAGCGGAAGCCAGGGCCTGGGCGCTGGGTGTGCCCCTAGAATTCCTCAGCTGACAGGACGACGAGCTGCCCGAGTCATGTAAGAACAAGGCATTCGTTTAAAAACGCTGACTGCGCCTTCGGCCCATGCTGGGTGCTGGGGACTCAGAGAAAGTAAGCCAAGGCCCTGAGCTGGAGGCCCGGGGTCTGGGGCAGAGCGACAGAGAGCGAGTGACCTCCCGAGAGGCATCCGTGCCACACTGGACACACGCCCAGGGGCGAAGGGGACACAGAGGGGCACGTCCATCAGCCTGGGGGGAGGTTTCTAGAACAATGACTAGTTTGGAACGTGAAGACTCATCCTGGCCCTTGAAAGGGCTGGAAGGGGGATCTGTCCATGGCGCTGGCCAGGGCTAAGCCACCCTGGGGAACGCGGGGATCTCGAGAGGCTGAACACGGCTAGAGGGGCCAGGAAGAGGCAGGGGAGGCCGAGCAGGCGTGCAGAACACCCCTGGACCTTATATGGAGAACAAGGGGTCAGAGGTGACAGCCTTGGGGCCGGGCAGGGGGTGAATTCCTGGGCACAGAGAGAGGGGCAGCAGGCTGGCAGTTTACAAAATGCCCTTCACATTCGTACGCTGAGCAGGTTAACTCTTCCTGGTAGACATACGACTTCAGTAAACATGTGCTTTGCTGGGTACATCATAACAGATGAATTTTTAAAATTGATCATTTCTGTCTTCACTAATACAGATCAAAGCCCTTTCTTCACACTCACGAGCAAGATGACCCAGGCTGCACACAGGGCTTTTCTTCAGCGGACTGAGGGCATGGCAGAGCGCTGGTTATGACAGGGGCCCTGGGTGCGTCCAGCAGGACGCCCCCTGCTCTGTGACAGCAGACTCTTGCCCACGGAGAGACGTTGTGCCCAACCTCACATCAGCTCGATCAAGCGGCATCTGTCCATCCCTCAGGGACCCGTGAACACCCCAGAAGGTCTCAGCTCTGCAGGGACTTGGTGTCACATAACTAACTCCACCAGTTTGTTGAGAGTTTTTGGAGCTCTAGATGTATAATGATTTTTTTAAATTTAATAATACATCATCCTTGCCTCCAACAGGATTTATAATCTGTGAACAGACAAGGTGAGCCATCTCAACGACGACCATAATTTACAGAACAGACATCGTCATATGACCTGGCAGCCATGCTAACAGATGTTCTCGAAGAGGCAGAGGAGTTGAGAGAGGGGTGGCCTGGGCGTGGGACCTGGGACAGAGCTTGGAGCAGAAGGGAAGGCGGGCCAGTTGTGAAACAGGGTCCTTCACCGCCCGAGGTGAGCACAGCCTTGTCTGTGGCACAGAGCCGGTCTGGAAGACGGACTCTCGATAACTAGTTCCACTCAGTCCTGTGATGGCTTCTGATGTAGGCTCAGCCCCCGGGCCTGTGTCCCCCGTCATGTGCACGCTAAGTTCATTCTGTGGGGCAGGCACTGAGCTCTCCCCTGGGGGCCACTCTGCTCTGAGGACACCAGTCCTCTGCCGTGGGTCCCCCTCCACAACAGGGCGCTTGCCTCTTCACCGCGGCCTTCCCTTGGCTAAGACGTCACACGGAACAGTGTTATGTCATCCAGGTCACTCCACCTTCTGTGCACAGGCCCCGCCCACGCTATTCAGGATGGCACACCCTGGGGTGGGGATTTTGGGGGCCACCATAGAATCCTGCCCATGTGGCAGGTCCCCAAGACAAACGCACATTCTCTCACACCTACCCTTCATTTGTCAACACTGATCTCTACCCCCCATCTCGCCTAACACCCTTTGATTCTTTGACATTTTGCTTGAATAACGGAATCATTTGGCCAATTTCTGACCCTTTTGTGCAGACGCCCAGGCCCCCCACTGCAGTCCAGCTGTGTAATGCCAATCCTGTCTCCCTTCCTGACCCGTGTTCTGTGATCTTCACACCACCTCCAACCTCAGCAACTATAATTCCAGAACCATCTGAGCAGTCACTGTGGGACCTCCACCAGGTGACCTGGTGCCGTCTGCAGAGGTCGGAGCCACCTGTTTCGGTGGAGTGTTGACACTGTGGTAGGACAGTGCCACTGGCCTCTCTGGCACTCACGCCCTTCATTTAATCTGCCATTGGGGTGTCCTGATAATATGGACAGTGTGTCCCCGAGCGCTGCTCAGGCCACCTTATCCCTGCAGCCCCCACGGCCTCACGCTTCTCCTGTTGGCGGACTGTCCTCTTCAGCACATCACTAGTGCCCGAGCTGCTACCTGTCCCCTGACATTCCTACAGTGGAGACACCAGAGCTGGTCATTTAAAACATAGGCACAGAGGAGGGGCAGTGTGACACAAGCCAGGGCATGCTTCCCAACCCAACAGATGCCACCATAAAGTGGAAATGGTGGCCACACCAACCTCCAGGCAGGGGTCAGAGATCAGTGCTGTGGCTGCCTGGCACATGGGCATCCCTGTGTGGCATCGTCTGCACCTACAGATGTCACTACTGGGCAGATGACAGGCTTCAGCTCAGAGGAGAGAAACCGGCACCCTCTCCATGGCCACACAAACCAGGCCTTTCTTTTACAGCCATTTCAGAGTTTTCTCTGTGAAAATAAACCCAAAGTGTTTGTTCAGAACAAGCAGCAAAGTGACCACAGCATCGTTGCAATGACTGGCAGAGGCCATCTCCTGCAAGGACGGACACAATGGTCCCCTAGCTGCCTCCCTCCATCCTCCAGTGTCATTCTCCCTCGACCGGCAGCCCCCACCTTCCCAAGAGTTCTCTCTCTTGAGCCCTCACGCTGGTCAGCCATTCAGCCAGCATCCAGGGCCCCGGTGGCCTAGCCCCAGCTGCACTCAGCCGAGTGCTGAGCTGCCCCCATGCTGGGTCCGCCTTGTCCTGAGCACCCACCCCAGCTGGCCAGAGCCCCCCAAAGCACCCCCATTCCCAGCGACTCCCCACTCCACGTCCAGCGAGGGCGGCCCTCCACAAAGCCCCTGGGGCTGACCCCGGGGTCTCACCCCGGTCTCGTTCACAGAGAGAAACAGTCACTGATGAAAACGCTTCCTGCCTCAGCCCAGGCTTGACGAAGCCTCTCGGGAAACGGAGGAAAAGGCCTCGCACTGCTTCAACAGGCGATTCTGCTCTAGAGAAAAATGGATTTCGTTCGAGACAAGTGGTCTGAGAGGTTTCGGTTAAGGCTAAAAAGTGAGATAATGTGCGCCCCGCCCCTCACATCCCGTCCTGTGCATCCTGCCACCGGCGGCGTCCTCTGCCATGATGACCAGCTCTGCACAGGCAGGGCCCCCGAAGCGGGCACAGCTGCTTTTATCTTCTAAACCAAAGGTTATTTTCACCATTTTTCAATTCTTGGGTCACAAGAAAGGCAGGGACCTTAAAGACGGGAGAAAAGGAGGAAGGTGGCCAGAGGCTGGCCGCTGCCCAGCCCTGACTCGGAGGATTGGTCGTCTGCCTCCCCGGCCGGTCAGCGTGCTCTAGGACGCTCAGTCAGGGCTGGAGGCAGGGCTCCCCTCTGACGCCTCCTGGGGGGGTTCCGAAGGGGCACCGGGAGCCCTGGGGATACATGGACGGGGCAGTTTCCCAGCCACACAGGAGGCCCAGCGGCCCCCAAACAA